GGTGCTGGGCGGTCCTGGGGGTGTGGGAGCGTCAGGAGTGGCCAGGGCAGAACGTGCGAGTGGAGCAGCAGCCCCTCCAACGAACGCGTTTTCTGCGAGAAAGGCCCGAGGAGGGCTGTCTTGGGAACTTGCTGCTCTCACACATTCTTCTTTACCTTAACCCCCCAGCACCTCCCTGCTAGCTATCCAAGGGTTTGGATTTTTAAAAAGAAAAAATAAACAAAAAAACCAATGCGAATTTTCCAGCTTTAAAGGGTGGAGAACTCTCAACCAAGACAGGACACAGATTCACACAAGAGATTGAGGGCTTGGGAAAAAGACAGGACTCGGCCCCACAGTGCAGGGAGACTCAGCGATCCAAACATTCTGGCAACCCCCTGACCCTATGAGAGGGGACAGAAAGTGGACGACCCCCTGTGGGCAGGAGGCCAAGTATGTCATAACTGACTGGTTCTTGCTGAACCAGGGGAGAGAGCCCCAGAACAACTGCATTTGATTTCACAATCGACCCCGCCTTGACGATGGTATGTTTTCAGGTTCCCGGAGACTGATTGGACTGGGAAATGAGGCGGGGCAGCCCTGTGAGTCCTCTGCCCACGCGGCCCCTGTGGGAGTGTTGGCCAGCACCAGGGATTCTCAGTCCTTTTTTTCTTTCCTGTGGCCTTTGTTAGGTACAGATAAATATTTAACTAGTTACATTTTAATTTCTTACCATGTGGGTGGAATTGACAATGGATACATTTTAGTACAAGAAAAATAAGTCTCTTACAGGCAATGCTGAGACGCCATACATAATATATAGAAAATTTATTCACAGGCGGCCTGAGGCAGGCTGGGTCACTATGCTTCCTCCTCCTCTGGCCGGTTCTCACTTTCCTCGCCCTCGGCACCAGACTCCACCGGTGTGGTCACCACAACTTTGGTGAGCTCCCTGGGATAGGAAGACAATGCCAAGGCTTCTACTCTTGAAAGGAGCAATTAAACTTTTCATTATCCCTCATTTTAGATATGATTTTAAATTGTCCCCAGCCATTTACCCTGCATCCTTGTTGAAGATCTCGTCCTCATCAGAAGTCTCCCTGTCGTGCAGCTTCTCTGCCATGTTTCTCTGGCATGTGGCATTGAGAGGTCTGTACATATCCGCAAGCTGAAGTGGCCACCTGAACCAGAAAAAGCCCTCCTAGAAAACAGACAGGGAAGTATTGGTTCTGCATTTCCCCTGCTTTTTCTGGCCACAGCAATGAATCCTCCTCAAATTTACCTGACTCTCACTTTGTGACGAGCATCTCTGATGTACAAATCTGAAAAAGCCACATGGGGGAAACATACACACAAGACAATTAGTGATTCCTGCCATTTTCCAGGTCCCTCACGATGTACATCTCTGGTCTTATTAGGACTAAACGTGTACCTTGGTCCACAATCACAGTGAGCAACATTGCTACAGATCTGGGATCCTGAAAATAATTCCATGTGTGCTGGATTCCAGAAGCTCTCCATGTCTGTCCAAGAGGGCCCCACTATGTCACTGGGGAGACCTTTGTGCATGGCTTGGCATGGAGTATAGGCAGGATTTTCAGCCCCACTTTCCCCCTTGGCCAAGTGCTCTTGTGCAGTGACCAAAGCATGCAACCATACAGGGCAGAAGTATTTTACTCTCTCCAGAAGCATTTTACATCAGTCCCTTTCCAACTTAGTCCCACAGGCCGCTTTTGCTCGGGAGTGAGGGATAAAGTGCTTCTATTTTCCTAGAAGCTGTGTCCTGTAAGTTGTGTCACATCAAGCAAGTGCCTGGGTCTAGCCAGCAAAGTTATCTTACAGATTTTCACAGAGGGGTGAGCTATGAAATCAATTTAAAAGACAAAATATTCTTTTTGAATATGAACAGAATGGAAACAAATCAGAGTGCATCGTTCTAGAAACTACTTATGTCTACACAGCACATGTGTATCGATTTGTGATATACAATGCAGCTCACAGTCCAAGTAGAGAATAATCAATGGAGAAGCCCCCAGCTGGAAAGGGACCACTGTCTTTCTGACACCCACTAGCATTATGACCACAGGGCAAGATAATTTCCCTTTCTCTGTCTCCATTTCCTTCTGTTGGCACTTTCATCTCATAATTCACAGGAGGTTGAGCTACAGCCTTCTTGGGTGGCTCTGGAGGCTGAGTTGGGGCCTCCTGCATGGTTGGATAAGATTTAACCTCTCTAGTACGTTCTGAAGTTATGGTAAACTCCTCATCCAAAGGTTTAACTGTGATTTCACTCAGGTTTGGATGCCGAGTCTGAACCTGGTCTGGATGTGGAAGTGTCACCTCCGCATGTTTTAAAGAAGGAGCTGTAGTTGTCAGGACTATAGAATGTTCATCCTCCACAGTGAACACTGGAGTTACGGTAAGCCCCAGGTCCAAAGGTCTCACTATGACACTGGGTGACACTGGATGCTGAGCTTGATTCTGACCTGGTGTTGGAACTGTCATCTCATAATTCACAGGAGGTTGAGCCGCAGCCTCCTTAGGTGGCTCTGGAGGCTGAGTTGGAGTCTCCTGTATGGTCGGAGAAGATTCAACCTCCATGTTAGATCCTGGAGTTAAGGTAAGTTCCAGATAAAAAGGTTGAACTGTAACTTCAGTCAGGTTTGTATGCTGAGCCTGAACCTGCTCTGGAGGTGGAAGTGTCACCTTACAGTGCTTTGGAGGAGCTGTAGTCTTTTTCTGGGCTATAGAATGTTCAGCCTCCATAGTGGGTTAAGGAGTTATGGTAAATGCTAGGTCCAAAGGCTGAACTGTGACACTGGGCGATGCTGGATGCTGAGCTTGATCCTGACCTAGCATTGGAAGTGTCACCTCTTGATATACTGGACATCGAACTACAACTTCCTTAGGTGGCTTTGGAGGTTGAGCTGGGGTCTCCTGCATGACTGGAGAAAGTCCAACATCTGTAGTGAGTTCTGGAGTGATGGCAAGCTCCAGATACAAAGGTTGAAGTCTGTCTTCAGTCAGGCTTGGATGCTGGGCCTGAACCTGGTCTGGATGTGGAAATGCCACCTCAGCGGGCTTTGGAGGAGCTGTAGAATATTCAGCATCCATACCGGGTTCTGGCGTTATGGTAAGCCCCAGGTTTAAAGGTTGAAATATGACACTGGGTGACGTTGGATACTGAGCTCAATCCTGACCTGGTGTTGGAACTGTCATCTCCTGAGATATTGGGGGTTGAGTTACAACAACTTCCTTAGGTGGCTCTGGAGGTTGAGTTGGGGTCTCTTGGATGGTTGAAGAAAGTTCGACCTCTAGTAGGTTCTGGAGTTATGGTCAGCCACAGGTCCAAAGGTTGAACTGTGACAGTGGGCAATGTTGGATACTGGGCTTGATCCTCACCTGGTGATGGAACTGTCATCTCATAAGGTTGAGCTACAACCTCGTTAGGGGGCTCTGAAGGCTGAGCTGGAAACTCCTGCTGAGGTGGAGAAGGTCTGACCTCTTCAGTGGACTTTGGAGGACAGGCAAAGGCTTCCTGCTGGGTCCCAGATGGTTCGACCTCCTGAGGGGATGCTGGTGGCTCAGCTGGGGCCTCCTGTTGGACTGGAGAATGATTAACTCCTTAGGGGGATGTGGAGGCTGAGCTGTGGCTTCTTGCTGGGCTAGAGAAGATTCAAACATTTCAGGGGGATCCTGAAGTGTGGAAAAGAGATCAGACTGGGTTGCAGAAAATTCAGCCTGTTCAGTGGAAACTGTAGACTGAGCAGTGCCCTCCCACTGGAGTGGGTAAGGCTCGGCATTTGTAGTGGGTTCTGCTGTAGTTATGGTAATCTCCAAATCCACATGTTTCACTGTGGTTTTAGGCAACATTGAATGACCTCTGAAAATCATAGACAAATCTAGAGGTGAAAATGTCATTGCATCACCAGTTGGACTAAACTGTATAGGATGCTTCAGGCTGATTTGTGGGCTGTTGCTGGCCTGGTGAAGGTCCAACACCCACAGGGGGCTCTTGAGGTAATGCTGAGATTTCCTGTTGGCTTGGAGATGGTTCCTCAAGAAGCTCTTCAGGCTGAGTTGGGACCCCTTGATGGATTGGAGAATGTTCATCCTTTTCAGGGAAGTTTGGCTGCTGAATTACAACCTCTTCTTGACCTTTCAAAGGTTTAAACTGCTGAGGGGACACTGCCTAATGATGTCCATGGAGCTTGCTTCCAAGAAAGGGCCTGTTCCCAGCCATCCCTGCGCGCTCTTGGGATCTGCTTGTCGCGGTACCTTGCTCCGCCCCACGGCCCCACACCGGGCCCACACTCTGGCCCTAGGCTCCCGTTTGACCGAGGCCTGCAAGTGTAAAGTGCCCAAGGCACGGCCCCGCCAACACCCCGTTTCTTGCCCTTTACCACTTATGACATTTTGTTCTGAGTTCATTTGACAGACAGATGTCACTTGTACATGGAAAAAAAAACATACAGCTACATCCAGAAGAGAATAAGCGGCCCCTGAGCTTCGCGCCGCGCGGGGCTGACGGCCGAGTTACACACAGGGGAGCGCCCAAGGGGACGTCAAGGTGCTCCCTTGGGTGAGGTGTGGTCAAAACAAGCTATGTTTTTCCTGAAAGCGCCAGGCTGAGGAGCTTTGGGCCCGGGCTCTGCCAGCCTGGCTGCGCGGATGCCCTCGGGGGTGGGGCACAGACAGGGCAGGCGCTAACGGTCCCACTCACAAGCCGACACTTTCCGCTGAGGGAGGTGAGGTGACGGCCCAAATGTCGTGCAGATGATGCGGAGGCCGAGTGATGTCAGGACCCCAGAAGCCAGGATCTGGTCTGACGCAGACCTGCGGGAGGCGGGCAGGACGGACGCGTTCCTCCTGGCACGGTGCCTTCGCCTCTCCGAGGCCGTCTGGCACCCGGGTCCGGAGCCACCCAGACCAAGCACGGGCTCCGGATTACCTCAACAGTCTGCGGCCGGGAGCGGCTGGCCCCGCCCCGCGGCCCTCCTGGCCCTGCGATTGGCTCTGTTGGACGGGGGCGGGGCCGGAGCGCCGAGCCAACGTGATGGCGTCAGGCGCCGTGAGCGCCGCTTCCTGTTGTCAGTGGCCGTGAGCCCGCAGCGTCGGCTCGGAGGCTGTGGGGCTGCCGCGGCCGGGAGCGCCCCCCCGCCCGCTCCCGCTCCGTTTGGTGAGTTAGGGGTTAGGGGGGCGAGGAGGGCAGCGGAGGAGCGGCGGGGCCGAGACGCGAACGGGCCTCCAGCCCTCTACGGGATCCCAAACCCTT